GACCACAAGATACTTGTGTGAGTTCAGCTAAATTACCTTTTTTCTCTCTCTCTCTCTGAAGGTGAAGTAATGCAATATTTTCGATCTTTTATAAAGTTATGCTCTTTTTCTGTTACAAAAATGAAAACATTAGGTACACAAAGTGTCCCATCTCATCCCACCCGGTCAAAAAAAATAACTCTTGCATGCTACGCATGCCTATGTTTTTACTTGGAGGCCAGAAAATTCACAATACACTAGATTAGTGTGAGTGACATTGGTGCATGACCATTACCTTGCTTTCTTGAGCTGTACTGGGAAATATTGGCACTATGACATTTCTATACTGCCGTAACCTTGGGCCAATATTCCCTAGTAAAGACTCGAGCTCGAATGGTTAGTAAGAAGTTAGTATGGGCTTTCGAAAAAATGATCTACACTGTACATGCATCTCAGGCTATTTTGAATTCCAGAACAATTGATATCCTTGTTGCTCTACATTTCTTGAAATTTTTTGTACGTGAAGGCAGCCAGCAAGGATTTTATGATATTTGAAAAACAACCAGTCATGATTATCAGTATAATTAAAGGTAGCATCAAAGACAAATCAATTCTATATATTTCATTGTTCTTCCTGTCATAAGTGTCCAGTTAAACTAACTGCCAGCTGCACAAGTATGGATGTCGGTTCAACTGGAGGAAATTGAATAAAAAACTTACATATTTGTACTCTCCTCTTGTGGAGACATGGTGGCCTTATGATTAGTGAGGTGGAGTCAGGGTCAAGAGATCTACGTTTGTAACCTGGCCAGGTTATGTGTTTTGTTTTTGTGCAAAATAATTTACTCTCACAGTACCCCTCTCCAGGAGGAAAGGGGGGGGGGTTACCATGGGGCGGACTGTCATCATGTCTAGGGAGGAGTAATAATACCTAGTCGCTTCATGTGAGGAATCCAGGATTATAAACTAAGGGCCTGGATAGGCCACTCTTAAATACAGACTTTACCTTACTACCTACTACAGCCTCTGATTTAAATAACTTCTATTGCTGCTTTTACAAATTATATGAACTTCCAACATACACATGATGATTTTTGCCCAATTTATCTCAGTCAATTAGGACTGTCTTTTGTAAATCTTGAAATTTTAAAAAATCCAGACAGAGGCGGAGTTTCAAAAAAAGTTTCAAAAATCCAGACAGAGGCAGAGTTTTCTATATTATAGTAGGCTTCCTGCCATCTGACGAGACGCGTAATTAAGCACATAGTGGTAAAGGGCCCTTCCGTAGTAGCTACAAGAAGCTGACAAAACTTTTTCTCTCAACCAAAAATCACATCAAAATTTGTCCTTGCTAAATTTCAAGTGTGCTGCACGTATCAGCTCCCCCCGGGAACCCCTATGTATAAGAGGGTGAGGATGCGCGCCGGGAATTTCGAAAACGACCCCTATAAAATTATAAAAGGTACCTGAGTCTTATCCGTGTGGGAGTGGCAAGAACTGACATCTACCCCTATAAAGTGCCAATTTAAACACAAAAAAATTTAATCTCAAAAATAAGAACTTCTTTATCGATGTGCTCTAGAGGCTCAAGTCAGATCATTAAAATCGTCCTAGTGCCTATTAAATGCTTATTTCAGGTATTTGATTGAGCGAAAAACACCCTAAAAGGTACCAGCTAAGTCTCTGGCTGTCCACTAAAGTTTGAGACACCGTAAAAGGTACCAGATCACTGATTTTGACCCCTGAAAGGTACGACAAGCATCCTCACCCATTTCCGATCGCCTCCTCCCCCACCTCCCCCACCAACCCTGTCAGCACCTAAAAACAAAAGATGTGATTTGCCAATTACGAGCCGTCAGTCTCACCTCGTAAAATTCACGTAAACTGGTTATTTACTAATAAAAACTTTAGGCACTGATCTGTCAGATTTTTTTTTATGCGGAAAAAAATCTGTCCTGCTTCAGGCAGGACGGCTGTACTTTTTTTTGTTTTGTTCGTCTTGACATAATTTGGTAGGGATTAAAATAACTGTACGTCTGCATTTGTGAAACAGACTATACAAGTCCAGAACTCGATGTGTGCACTTCTAGTGTAGTAAGTATTCTTTTGTAACATGGCGAAAGATCTTGCGATGTCTACTGTTCAAGCCTTTTTCTCTTTTCAAAGAGGCATCAGAATTATTTTCATGTCAAATTTGCAGTAAACTGCTTGCGTGTCATCCTTTGTTTTCAAGGTGTCCGACCAGGTATGACTGAAAATGGCACCTCACTTTGATAGGAATCCTTTTGTTGTTGCTTCTTACTTCCTGGAATTATCACTTGAAATTCGCTCGGTAATGTAAAAAAAAAAAAAAACAACAACAACGCGAGCATGGGCTTAATGTAAGAAAACAAATCGTGCAATTGGCAAAAAACCCCCCCCACCCCCCATCAAAAATCTAATGGTCTGTCAATAAGGTACCTTTTACATTATTCCAAAATGGGTTTCATCCCGGAATGAAATGAATTTCATACCGCGTTTACATGCAAGATAGTTTAGATTACAAAAACAAGTAGTAAAAACAAGTATTTACGTCCCTTTTCTATGCTTTCATCGCTCCTAAGGAGGATCCATACAGATATGAGTGTCGAACCGCGTTTACTTTATACAGGTACAAAAGGTCATCCAAAATAAGTGTTTCGTTCTGGAATGAAAACCTCAATAAACTCATTCAGAAATGACTCGTTTCGAATAATTTTACTCTGGTATCATGTGGCAACCGGGATGAACTCTTTCTTGAACAAAACTCATTTCGATATCGTGTAAAAGGCCCCTAAGAGTTTTTATTCCCAGAGCATCATGCTTTGCTTTTCCGCCAGAACACTATAAATTTCAATAGCGTTGAAGCAACAGCCCGCTTTGAACTGCTACGCTGCCACTGAAACAACGATTAGTGACCACAAAAGTAACATATTGCAATATTGTCAATTCAACATAAACAAAAATCTTCATACAGGGTAAATATTCATTTGTGTTGGCATCAATTATTGCGTGACTAGCTTCTCACATAACTGGGATAGGGGAAAACACAAGCGTAATATAATGGCCGAAACAGCTTATTGGTCTTATGAAATCATAAATAAACTGGGTAAGAGTGTTATGTTAGATTTTTTTTACAAATTGTAGTGATTTATGCCTCGATATGTCAATAAAAGGTGGCGACAAGTAGGCACACCATGTATATTTCATTGTCGCTAGCAAGTAAATTTTGTCGGACTTTGAGTTCGTCTCACGATAGAACAACACAATTACACAAGAAAATTTTTACAGTAACGTTATAACCATCCCTTTGTTTTAAAAGCTAGAAGCTCAGTAGATTCTGTCATTTCGGTCACTGTTAAAACTGTCTTTGTTTTGATGCTACTTTTCGACATAGAAAAAGTATGTCGAACAAAAATATTCACCAAAAAATAAATATTTTTTTTCCAGCCTCAATAATGTCAGGGGCTTAAGTTAAGATGATAAAACAAAGGATTATGCCGACAGAAATACCGGAGGTCAAGTAAATTCGTTACATGAGGTCACACAATTCGGGTAATATTCAGAGTGAAAATTTGCATATTTGAGCGGTCGAACGAAAAAAATCATTTCTCAAAAACTAAAATATTTTCACAAAAAAACTGCACCACAATTATTAGGAAATATGAGGCTACAAAATATGAAAGTAGAAGAGGAATCGAATTTGGCCGACTTGCCGCTGTTTGTGTGATGCATGTTGATATTAGCTCTTAACTGGCTTCTGGTTTTGTGTCTATGTATCCCTCCCATTCTCAGAAGGGAAAAAATATTTATTTTGCCACTGGGTAATATGTTGAGCTGATGTTTACAACCATTTTCAATTACCTTTTTTTCAGGCCAGGATGACTTAAAAGAACAACTTTTTAAGAAGCATCAGTCTTCTTACAGTTGCTATGGCTACAGGAAGAAGTTCAATTAAAGTTCCATGTGAAAATGAAGACTTACCTGACAAAGAAAATGCACCAGATTTTGACGAGGACACTTTACGAGGTGAGCTAGGTTCAACTTCGGCTTCAGTAATTGTTAGAACAATTTCTAGTGGATCAGTTTCAAGAATGCCAGCAGATGTGGGAAAGGATATATACACTGTATGACCGCTTTAAAGTATATTTGGCCAGTCATGACTCTCTTCTATGATTACAATATGCTGTTCATTGAGAAGATCTATGACACAGAAACCTTTGTTATTTTCTTTTCTAACAGTGCAGAGCAGTAACACAAAGTTATAATAAGTTAAGACTTTATTTGATCATCATATAACATCCATTGTAAGTAATCACTTTGAATAATCACATAATCTGAGTAATCACATAATCACTTTGAAACCTTAACATTCCCTCCTTTCTCCTCGAGCAACCCACAGGCATTTGATCTTCATCCAAGCCAAAGAGGGTGGGGAGGGGGGGAGGGGGTTTAACCCTGCCTGACTGGCGTTAGGGAATTTGAATAAAAACTGTCACATCTAATTTCCAGTAGAGTACAAGTGTTAATTATCATTGAATATGGAGGTGTTTAAGGCAGATAGTGCACTTTCACTAACAAATGTCTCAGAAGAAATAAGGCTTCAAGGTCTAGGTTTTAAAGCTTGGTCAATTAGTTTTTAAAGCTTGATCAATTAGTTGAAAGTGAAATTGCTAATTATTTCGCCTTTTACATAAGATTGTGTGGGGCATTTGAACATTTTATTAATTTTGCCCAGGGAATAGGAATATTAGGAAAACTATCTCCAAAATCTCTCATCTCCAGGGGTTTGCCTCAAGTTGAGTGATGCTTAATTCTCATCATTATTCTTACCCATGTTGTCACCTACATTGTTAGCATCATCATAACTATTGAAAATCTGCGGATTTTAAATCTCCAGATCTTAACAGCTCTAACTATACACGAATAATTATTAACTACGACCACAGACTTTGACACCCATTTTTAAATTTTTTTTCGAATTATTTTATTTTTTCTTTGCAGCCACAGCTGATGTTTATAGGAATGAGGGTAATGAGGCCTTCAAGAAAGGAGATTTCATCAATGCTATTCATTTTTACACCAAAGGAATTAAAATGAACTGCAATGACAAAGAACTGAAGGCCAAACTGCACAACAACAGGGCAATCGCACATTCTAAACTTGGTAAGATGATGAGAGCTTTAATATGCATTTTTTTACTATTTTGAAGCTATTGAGTTGTCAGTGTAGTTTTCTGAAAAAGGTGATAATTTTGAATGCATGCCCGGAAAAATTTACATCTTATCTTGGCCTCTCAAATATACAAAGAAGTAACTTCTTACCCCAGATATCAATGAGCATCACAAGTTTTTCCCGAAATTATAGTAATGGTAGTTGGTTTGCAACATGTATGGTTAATCAGAGATATTTATTTCAATAACAGGAAATCACCAGGATTCACTAAGGGATGCAGAAGCAGCCATTGAGTTAAATCCAACTTTCCTTAAGGCAATTGTGAGAGGTTAGATATGGTAGCTGTACTATAATAATAATAATAATAAAAAAAAAAAACAAAACACTCTAAGGTTAAATGAGGTTAAATGGATTTCAATCTTGTCTCAATGGACTTTAATTAAGAGGTCGAGACCACCCTGATGTACATTTGAATCTTGCTCTTGACTGCTACGCCATTACTTCCATTAATCATGATGAGAATATTATTTTGAACGGGATGAAGAACTCAATGCGGAATGCAAAGCAAAATTTCAGCATGAATATTTTAATTCCTTAAGTTCAATGAGTCACAGGTGTCAGATATGTTAAGAGAGTGTCCACGAGAGCACCGGGCAGTCGTGCTACATGCCATCTCACCGATTTCAATGAAACTTTGCCAGTTTAAAGGGTCTACCCCAAAACTCAAAAAGACAAACTGGTTTCTGTTTTGGTTTTTTTTTCGGGGGGAGATAGACCACCCCCCCGGTTTTTCTTGGTTTTCACCAAGGAAATCGCTTCAAATAGGTATAATGTATGAAGCTCTCACCGCGATGGTATTCAACTGATTACTTTGAGGATTTGCACACATATTTTTTATATCCTTTGTTAATGTCTGCTGCGAGTATCAGTCAGTTTGATTGATAACTTGTCAATCAACAGAGGTAAATATACGGCAGTGTTTTTAGACTTTTCGATTTATCCAAATATTTGACAACTTTGAGGTCAAATATCTCCCATTGCCAGAAAGCTACAACACTAATCTTAATTACCCTTTATAACCCATCATTTCATCTCTGAAAATCATCAAAAAAAAAAATTTGGGTACTACCGTATTTTTGTTTTGGATGCCTTTTAAAATCTGCGACTGTGACAAGTTTCTCTTAACTACACCTGTCACGAAATTCTTGCTCTAGGCGGTCACTTGACAAAATAAACCTACATTTTTTAGTTCTTTATACAAGATGATTGATCAAGAAAGGTTAAAAATGTTAAAAACTTTCGAGATTTTTTGTAGGAATGGAAAATTTGATAATTTGACGAGTAACCTTCCTGCAAATTTCCCTTGATGAAATCCCATGACATAGCCAGTTGTTTTCGTGAGCAAAGACAATAAATATGAAAGAAAAGTGAGATGCAAATGCCTTTTTTTTTTTTTTTTAGCTTAATAGCAGCTGTACCCTCTCCTGCAGTCTTCGTCTAAATTTTGAAAGGTCCCTCCTTATCTTCTGCCTTGTTCGATCAATTTCGAATTCTGAAGCTAGATCATCGGCATCGGCCTCTCCGTCCTCATTCATATTTACAGAGGAGGACCTCATCAATAAACCTCTTTTTGTTACGGCAGATAACCTGCTGAAGTATCGAGCGATTTGCTGCTGTATCAACCGGTGAGCATCACTGCACGAACTGAGAAAGTAAAAACTTGTATTTATCTCCCACGCGTTTCGTCTTACAATAGTAGACTTCATCAAGGATTTTTTCAAGTAGGGTAAATAAGCTTGCTCATATACAAATAGTAAATAAGTTGTCTCTTTGCTATTGAAGCCAGTGGATAGAATTCGCCAGGTGCGCCTACGGTGTTATACATGCGTGACATTTTCCAGACGTTACATGTACGAGTACGTGATCCGTTTGAGGGTCACAGATTTAGGGTAAATATTTCACCCCTCAACATCACGCAATGTCTCCAGTTTATAGAGGTCTTAGAACGTTTCATTATATGGAGTTGCCTTCTGCGGGTAGAAGGCTACAAGCGAATTTCTCAGGCGTAATTGCCTTTGATTTCTTAATTGATGTTGTCGCAAACCTAGTTTTTGGGAGTCACAAGACAAAAAAAAACTTATCAGGACCTAGTTTCGTGTTCTAATGGAAATAAATAGCAAATAAAAACACATGTTCTTGAGAAATAAAGTCACAAATGACGGGGGTTCTCTGAAACAAATAGTGATAGAAAAGGATTTCAGTTCTGGTCAATATTGACTTTTCCCGGCCTACTTCCAAGTCTGAGGGAATGCACTGAGGGAATAAAAAAACATAAATGTGTGGTAATGCAAGCAAGAGAATAAAAATCCAAATAAAGAAAAAGGAGAAAACATAGGAACCCGTGTTGCAGCGTGCAGATAACTTTCGAGCCAGACCTACAAACCTAAGCCCGACACCACCCAGAGAAACTCGAAAGAATCCTGTATATGAACTAGCTCGCACGTGCACACAGGAAAGGCCATGACAATCAGCGAAAATAATAGCAAATGCAAATGATATTTGCAGTCAAAAAACAGAAAAATAAGATAACAGAAGGATTAAGAACTTTTTAGAAGTATCTTCTTGAAAAAAAAAAAGATGAACAATTTTTACTTCTCATGAAAAGTCACGCAGTAACCCTACAAATACTATTTCTATACGTGGAATTTCTTGATGGTGGAAAGTGGAAAAAACATTTTCCAGTCTTATTTTCTGGAAACATGGCGTAGTTAATGAATTTATGGGGCTATTGATATTTCCTATCAAATAAGGGGGGCAGAGTTTCCCTTCATGCGCGGTATGGAAAAGCCGAAGTTGTTACACTCGGGAACTTGTACGTCAACAAGCAGGCGACATGTGACTTTAAAATCTCCTCTCCTGTTACAGTTTCCTTATTGTAAATTGTGCGATAATGATAATAGACGATCAAAGTATAGGCTAATGAATGTTTTGTTCTGTACCCTATGTCCTGATTTTAGCAAATCTTGAAAGTAATAAACGACTGAAGAAAGAAACGCAACGATTTTCCCATTGATTTTTCGTCAACATGCGTCTCTCTAAACGTGAAATTTTCCATTCCTACAAAAAATCTCGAAAGTTTTTAACATTTTTAACCTTTCTTGATCAATCATCTTGTATAAAGAACTAAAAAATATAGGTTTATTTTGTCAAGTGACCGCCTAGAGCAAGAAGTGCGTGACAGGTGTAGTTGAGAGAAACTTGTCACAATCGCAGATTTTAGAAGGTATCCAAGACAAAAATACGGTAGTACCCAAAGATTTTTTTGATGATTTTCAGAGATGAAATGATGGGTTATAAAGCGTAATTAAGATTAGTCTTGTAGCTTTCTGGCAATGGGAGATATTTGACCTCAAAGTTGTAAAATATTTAGATGAATCGAAAAGTCTAAAATTACAGTCGTATATTTGCCTCTGTTGATTGACAAGCCGTCAATCAAACTGACTGATGTTCGCGGCGGCCATTAACTAAGGATGTAAAAATATGTGTGCAAATCCTCAAAGTAATCAGTTAAATACCATCGCAGTGAGAGCTTCATATATTTTACCTATTTGAAGCGATTTCAGTAGTGAAACCCAAGAAAAACTAGGGGGTGGTCTATCTCCCCACGGAAAAAACCAAAACAGAAACCAGTCTGTTTTTTTTTGGTTTTGGGGTAGAGCCTTTAAACTGACAAAGTTTCGTTGAAATCGGTGCGATGGCATGTAGCACGACCGCCCCGTGCTCTCGTGGACACGCTCTTAAGTCACTATCTAGCTGTTCTAGAAAAAAGGATCAGGACTTACCTAACTCTTAGTGTTTTTGTGGGAGTTGTTGATCCCAATTTAAGTGTTCTTAGAAGTTTCAGTTGTCTGTAAAGCTAAATAAATCTAACTGAAACCTAATAGGGCCTGTTTATTCTTTTCCGTTTAGTTTCTTTGTTTTGTTTTGTTTTGTCTTTTTTTTTCTTCTGGTCTGTAATGATTTTAATGGTTTCAGGTTCTTTTCTCAGAATTGAGCTACAGTAATAGTATGCTTCTTTGTGTTGTTGCCTACAGGAGCCGCTGCTTGTGTTGAATTGAAGAGATTTGAAGAAGCAATCACTTGGTGTGATAAGGGACTAGCTGTATCCTTTGAAAGAATCGTTCATTTTTAACCGTGGGTATAAAAAAAAAGTTTCCATAATTTGATGTTTCAAGGGAGAAAATACAAAGAAGGGTATTAATTATGATGGGAACTTGTCAGCTCATATACTTTAAGTTTGTGTGATTAATAATATAGGAGACGTTATAACCTCATGACTTATTAATGAAATTACTCCTTTTAGCCAATTTGACTTAGTTCTACTATCCATGCCAATAACTGTTACATTAGTTTAAATCACCCTTTAATTTCCAGACCAAATTTGTCTAGAAACGATAATAACAAAGTAGTTTGCATTTAAAAAGCAGCAATGTTTTTATCATAACAAGGTCACCCTTAATCATCGCTCTTGTTCAGAGGCTTGGGAACCAAGCACGTAAATGTTAAAATGGACTATTACATATCAATATGATCAGAAACATAATCTTTTTTGTTTTTTCCACATTTTTTACCCTTAACATAAAAAAGATTGACAAAAACCATAGGATCTTGTTGTCATTAAGACTTCAGTCTGTCAGTGAAGTGGGAGATAAGTCCATGGAGGAAAAAGATCCTATTAGTCATGACCATGGTAGTGCAAGTTCAGGTGATGTCAAGAAAGTCATAGATCTCTATAATCGGGGAGAAGAAGCCATAGAGTACCTCAACCTATATCTTAAAAAAGCTAAAGAAGTAGGAGACAAGCATGGGGAGGGTAACGCTTATGGCAGTCTTGGCAATGCTTATCACCGTCTGGGTGATTTCAAAAAAGCCATAGAGTACCACAACCTAAATCTTAAAATAGCTAAAGAAGTAGGAAACAAGCATGGGGAGGGTAACGCTTATGGCAATCTTGGTAATGCTTATCTTCGTCTGGGTGATTTCAAAAAAGCCATAGAGTACTACAACCTAAATCTTAAAATAGCTAAAGAAGTAGGAGACAAGCATGGGGAGGGTGGTGCTTATGGCAATCTTGGCAATGCTTATGACAGTCTGGGTGATTTCAAAAAAGCCATAGAGTACCACAACCTACATCTTAAAATAGCTAAAGAAGTAGGAGACAAGCATGGGGAGGGTAACGCTTATGGCAATCTTGGCAATGCTTATATCAGTCTGGGTGATTTCAAAAAAGCCATAGAGTACCACAACCTAAATCTTAAAATAGCTAAAGAAGTAGGAGACAAGCATGGGGAGGGTAACGCTTATGGCAATCTTGGCAATGCTTATCGCAGTCTGGGTGATTTCAAAAAAGCCATAGAGTACCACAACCTACATCTTAAAATAGCTAAAGAAGTAGGAGACAAGCATGGGGAGGGTAACGCTTATGGCAATCTTGGCAATGCTTATCGCAGTCTGGGTGATTTCAAAAAGGCCATAGAGTACCACAACCTAAATCTTAAAATAGCTAAAGAAGTAGGAGACAAGCATGGGGAGGGTAACGCTTATGGCAGTCTTGGCAATGCTTATCACCGTCTGGGTGATTTCAAAAAAGCCATAGAGTACCACAACCTAAATCTTAAAATAGCTAAAGAAGTAGGAAACAAGCATGGGGAGGGTAACGCTTATGGCAATCTTGGTAATGCTTATCTTCGTCTGGGTGATTTCAAAAAAGCCATAGAGTACCACAACCTAAATCTTAAAATAGCTAAAGAAGTAGGAGACAAGCATGGGGAGGGTGCTGCTTATGGCAATCTTGGCAATGCTTATCTCTGTCTGGGCGATTTCAAAAAAGCCATAGAGTACCACAACCTAGCTCTTAAAATAGCTAAAGAAGTAGGAGACAAATACTTTGAGGCAATGGCCTACTCTTCACTAGGATGCGTTTTTGAGTTGCAAGGTGGACTGCCAAAAGCCGTTGAACATTATCAGGCTAGCATAAACTTATTCGATTCCTTGAGAGTACTTCTAAAATCTAAAGATGAGTGGAAAGTTAATTTTCGAAATCAGCATCAAATGACGTATACGGGTTTGTGGAGAGTTCTCGTAGAACAAGGTAATGTAGATGAAGCCTTATTTGTTGCTGAGAAAGGGCGAGCTCAAGCTCTGACCGACCTCATGGAATCCAGTTTTTGTGGTGGAACTAGTCACCATAAGGGAGAAGATGAAGATTTCACAGTTTTAAAAAACGTTCCATCAAACACTGTCTTTCAGGCAGTGGACAAAGCTGACGTCAATCTTTGGGTTGTTTCCGAAGGAAAACAAGTTCGGTTAAGACAAAGTAAACTCAAAGGTTTTGTTTCAGAGAATAATTATAATGGATCTAGCCAGTCCTTTGAGTCGTTCATGCTCGGTGTCTATACACAACTTGGTGTTCGTTCTAATGTGAGATGCGAGAATCGATCTTTAGATGCTTTGAGGGAGGGCCCTTCAAAAGTGGATGAGAAAACCAAAGAAGCCAACCCTCAACCTCACATCCAACAAGACGGATGCTTGAGCACTTTGTATGATATCGTTATGAAGCCGGTGGCTGAATTGATTGAAGGGGATGAGCTACTCATTATTCCTGATGGACCCCTGTGGATCGCTCCTTACGCTGCATTGAAGGATGGTAATTCTAAATACCTGTGTGAATCGTTCACAATCCGAGTCGCTCCATCGTTAGCAAGTGTTAGACTCATTGCCGATTGCCCAGATGATTATCACAAAAGCAGTGGTGCGTTACTTGTAGGAGATCCGTGGGTATCCGAGGTTACTAACAGCGAGGGAAAGAAAGTCTTGGAGCAGCTTGAGTATGCTGAAAAAGAAGTAGAAATGATCGGAAAAATTCTGAATATCACGCCAATCACTGGCAGACAGGCCACCAAACGTGAGGTGTTGAAAAGACTCAGTTCCGTTTCTTTAGTTCACTTTGCGGCACACGGATGTCCGGAAACTGGCGAAATTGCTCTTACACCTGACCTAGACCGAATATCTACGGTGCCTACGGAGAAGGAGGATTACATTTTAACGATTCGAGATGTGTTGAATGTTCAACTTCGTGCCAAACTTGTTGTGCTCAGTTGCTGCCACAGTGGTCGGGGCGAGATCAAGGCTGAAGGTGTGGTTGGCATTGCGCGCGCTTTTATGGGGGCTGGTGCTCGGTCTGTTGTGGTGTCCCTGTGGGCGATTGATGACGAGGCTACTCTCCAGTTCATGAAATGCTTTTATCAACACCTTGCAGAAGGTAAACCAACAAGCAAGTCACTGAACCTGGCCATGAAAAGCCTCAGAGAATCAAATGAGTTCCACGAAATCAAATACTGGGCGCCCTTTATGCTGATTGGAGATGACCTCACGTTTGACCTGATGGCAAAGGAAAGAGAAAATTTGAATAGAAAATCAAATAAATGAGAAAATCTTTTTTTTCATCTCAAAAGAATGAAGTTGGAACTTGGAAGGTTTAAATGTTTCTCTATGTTAAACAATTTTTGGCTATTTTTCTTTACTTTTTATTTTTTTGTTTAATGGAACTTGAGATGTGCAACTTTACAATGGTGAAGAAATAAACCAGTCTATTTCATTATATTTTGATCAGTGGAATTATCATTTTTTGTTACCTTAACAAATTTAAATGCTTGCGAAGAGAAAGAAATGCAACAAGGCCTCTGTTATGAACGAGGTTTCCATTTCCACCAACATGTCACTCGGCTCTGTTCCTGTATTACAATCAGTTGTATGGAAAATAATTTAAAGGTTATTTCTTTTACCCAACCAGGGGCTTTTCCACCGGATTTTAATTACCTTTATGCTCTTAGCTTTTGATAAGCAAAGAAACAATTCGTCATTTGCAAAAGTTGGCGAATTTTTATTTCCAAAACTTTAATTGAATATGTATGTCAATTGAATATGTGAATTGATCTCAGACCGTTTTCAACATCATAAATTACTTTGTTACAATTTACCTTCATCTTTACAAAAAAATTTGATGACCATTTTCAACTCAATCCATTTTAATGCAATCTACTTCTGTCAGTGCCAAGATTGCCATTCTAAACTTAATTGAAGAAGTAAACATCAGAGATGATGTTATTAAATTTACTAACCATATGTTAGAGACATTACACCTACTTTTAGGGGTGTAGCCAGCCTCTAGTCCCGTAGGCCCGGCCTACAATTGTTTTCTGCCCGCTTGACTTTAACTTAAAGATAATATGACTCTTGCAAATGTTGAAACAAAAACTGAAATTTGTGAGGGAAGAGGCTTACATTTAGTCAAAAAGCTGGCTACAACCCTGTTTTCAATCAAACGAGTCTGGCCAATTTTTGTCCGTTTTACCAAACACTTTTCCGTTCGTTTTAAAGAACGACGACAGAGAGGCTAAAAGTTGTCCATGTAATCTAAACTAGGAAAGAGGGACGCAGAGTTCACTATAATTAAAGTTTCCATAGGTGTGACTTTTATTGTATGTGACATGGAATTTGTTGTTTCCAGTACGACAATATTTACGCTCATAAATGAGAGAAGCAGTTAACGTAAGCCATGTAGTCCTCATTGGGAATTATTTTGGTGAAAAGGCTCATTAATTAATGTAAACCTAGTGCGTAGTTGAAAAGGTTCAGGGCTTCAGGATAAAACTTCTAATTGTTGAAAAATCACCTCTTGAAATTTTTTATTGCTTTAAATTTACCTCAGCATGATTTGAGGATGTCTGATAATATGCGTGGTTGAATATAATGTAACTAGGATTTTAAAGACATGCTGGGACAGTTTCAACTAAACATGGTTTGTATAATGTTAGTGTATTTCGTGTGAAGTGTTTTGATGCTATTTTTTTTAAGTTGAAGATAATTGTTCATTTACCTTAGTTTATATTAATTAACTCATGAACTCCCTAGTTCTGAAGAAAAATTCTCCCAACTGATAAGAATGTGTTTCTCTTTGCTGCCGCTTGTTCCGAGAATTCGATGTAATATTATGTTTCTAGTAAAAGATTATCCTCCAGTTTGGATTTTCTCTAATTGTTATTGACACCATGTTTGTCGGTGTATTAATACCGTGAGGAGAATTTAAATTATGATCAGTCTTGGGAGTAAATGGGTTCATTTTAGCGTCTCCGTTTAGTGCGTATTTTACTTAATGCCTTGAACGATTCAATGCAGTTTCTATTGTGCTTATTTTTTTACTTCTTTGTGTAAGAGAAATATAGAGTGTATAAAATACAAAAACTGCGTTGATTTACAGTGTCTGTCTCCATGTTCTTAGGATGCACGTAAGATGTAGAGAAAGCAGATCCTATGGGGACTTCAATGCTTGTTTTGACCCGCGCGCCAGGTTGATAATGTGTGCAGCTAACAGTGTACTAAAATTCCATGTTTCAAACTCCCGCCCACTTAACAAAAGCGCGTCATCTCTTCGATTGTATCTCTTTCACTGTCTATCGTTCTCCGTATTGCCACACGGTTTTGAGCGCCGACGGACGTGTTCATACTGTTACATGTGTGCGCCTTTTTTTATCTTTTTCCTTACACAAGTTTTTACACCTTTTCACATTTGCGCATCCCTTCCTCTGGTTCCTTCCTTTTTTTTCATTGCAATTTTCCTTTATTCCCATCTTTACGCGCACCTCTCTCATCCTCAACTTTATTCTTCTGTGCGCTTCATAGGACGCAACTATCTCCTTGTCTGTTTCAATTTTCATTCGTCTCGATCTTCGCGCAACGTCTGGCTTCTTACAACTCATATACCTCGTTACTCCCCCATAGTAGTTGTTATCATGCGTATTATGTCCACTTTGGGATGGTGTCCTCTTAAAGTCATCTCTAGTGAAATCTCAGTTTTCCTTTCGATTGATTCCTAGTCCACAGGGTGTCAGTATTTGCTCTCCTCAGTCCTCTCATCATAATAGCAGTTATAAAGCGGAAGAGCTCCCTCCAAGTCTCGGCGACATAATCTGTGCATTTTGTTGGAAACAAGTCCCTCAATGTCCAAATTAAGGCCTCTTCTATCATCTGATTGGGAATGGGTCAAACTCTCGCCCAGGGTCCACCTACATTACGAGTTCAAGATGGCGGCAGGCCAATCCACATTGTACCGTTGCATTGTCCTCTTATTGCAGATATGTCCTCTGACGTAATGTGATACAGTGGCCAATCATATCCTGTGATCTATCGAGCGACACGCGGCTCGGGACTGGTTAAGAGACTTCGTTGTAGTAATGTTTTCAAGCAAAAGTACTCATTCAAGGGGGGTCGGGATAAGTGGAAAATTTGACCAGTATTTTCCGGTAACTGATCTCAAGAAAACATGCTGTTCGCATGATCATTGCGAACCGGATCATTGGCCTCTCACATTATTTTCTTTGAAGTTCTATCGTTCCTTCGTTAGCGCCGTGTGATCGCATCGTTGTTATAACCTAAACGTGGAAGAATAACTACTGAGCTACGTAAATAACAAAGCGACTTTCGACCAAAGGATGCCTTATTGTTCACGCTTTATTTGCAGTCTTGCTTTATTTACTGTCTTCATTGTTCGACTTGCGACTCCACTGACAACATTTTACCCACAAGCTGAGACAAAAGCACAATGTGGCGTCATATCACAATTGTTTTATTTTCTTTAATAGTTGAAGATCATAGATTATGGTTCGTCGGCATAAAATTATATATTTTTGACGCTTCGCTGATCTGCCGGAGGTGAGATCGACTGAGAGGTCAAAGTTGTGATAATTTGTCTGCGTCACGAAGTCTTCCTTCAATCACAGAAGTTGGCGTTCAGTTATTTATTTTGAATATTGTAGGTTTTTGCTATATCGCACCGAGCCCTCCGTAAAAATTTGAAGTAGTAGATTGTGATGTGATTTTATTGCGGTTCCACTGATTTTAGCTGTTCTTTTTTTAGTACTGTTTCTAAATTATCGTTGGATTTATTGCACTTTTGGGTGGATTTGTCTTAATTTACCCCGTTTACGACAAATTCACGCAATGATCAAATCGAAAATCAGGGTAAAGATGGCTATGGCAAGTCAGTAGGATTTATTCCACGTAAAGGATGAATTTACCCCGTTTTTCTAGAATTCGCTGATCAAATGGAAAATCTGGGTAAAGATGGCATATGGGAACTGAGCGTGTTAGCCACTTGCGGATGAATTCGAAGTTTTGTCAAATTCCTGAAAAAAAAGGAAATTCGAGGTAAAGATAACATATGGGAACTTCGGGTGTTATTCCCTTGTAACATGAATGCTCAGAATTTACCCCGTTTTTCTCGAATTCACTGATCAAATGGAAAATCGGGGTAAAGATGGCATATGGGAACTTAGCGTGTTAGCCACTTGCGGATGAATTTGCAGAATTAATCCCGTTTCTCTAGAATTCATTGAAAAAAAAATAAAAAATCGGGTTGAAGATTGGATATGGCAACTTGGGATCTATTCCATTTGGAGGATGAATTCTTAGATTTTACTCCGTTTTTCTAGAATTTGTTAAAAAAAAAAGGAAAATCGGAGTAAAGATGGCATATGGGAAATTAGCGTGTTAGCCACTTGTAGCATGAATTCTCAGAATGTACCTCGTTTTTCTAAAATTCACTGATCAAAAGGAAAATCGGGGTGAAGATGGCATATCAAGTTTAGCCACTCGCGGGCCGAATTCTCAAAATTCATCCCGTTTTTCTAGAATTCATTGAAAAAAATGGAAAATCGGGTTAAAGATTGCATTTGGCACCCTAGGATCTATTCCTTTTGTAGGACGAATTCTCAGAATTTACCCCGCTTTTCTAGAATTCACCAAAACACTTTTCTTAAAATTTGTAATTTTTCCTATCTTTTATTTTTAACTAAGACAAGCCAGCCGCACAAAGAAACATTTCTTGTAGTTGTAAGTTTCTCGTTTATCTCGAACGCGTTTCGTTTCTAATTGAGACTTCTTTACGATTACATTTAATGAGGAACAGTATATTATATAGCACATTGGTGTGCCTAAGTTCTGAATTTCCATGGAAGTTAATGAAGAAATGGGAAATGGTTCCCGTGTTTACATAGCCTGATGTAGACACGTGGGAGGTTGGGAGAACACGAGATAAGCGTGGGAAACCACGTCGTGAAGCAGAGTGGTTTCCAGCTTATCGAGTGTTCTCCCAACCTCCCAAGTGTTTACATCAGGCTATGTAAACACGGAAACCATTTTACATTTCTTTTATAAAATAACTAATAAAAGAGGAACAAAAACCGTGTTTACATACGCTCATGTAAAATGGTTTTATGGCCAATCAGAACGCGCGTACTATTTGAATTATTTTATAATAATAACTGAAAGCGGGCGTTATAAAAAACACCTAAATACATATCAAGTTATTGCGTACTGCTTTATTTTGGGGGGCTAACGATTTGCGCTAATCGTAGAATTCCCCGCTGAAA